AAGGAACAATTTGGTTAGATAAATTAGTTTCATCACTTTCGTAAAATAATGCAGTACAGTGAAGGTTATAGCCTTATTTTTACCTTTTTGGGCAAGAATTTCCTAGATCAAAAGTATGTGAATAATAATGGCTTCAGTTCTCAGACCTGAACATTCTTCATTCTGAGCTAGAAAATAAACCATCATCATCTGTGAACATGATCAATCCAAACTGAAACAGCTGATTGGGGAATAGTGATTAGATACTACGCTTCTAGTGGCAGTCATTTTAACTTTGAGAAACATGCTCCTTTTCATGCTCCTTTTGTTAATAATCAATTGTTGGCTTTTTGATGGGACAGCGAGTGTGCAAGAGCCTTTCAGTCTTTGCAGAGCTCATCTCTGAATACCTCAACATGGAAAAATTCTTTTAGAAATATATTATACTTATGTAATCAGAATTAATAGCCACTTCTAAGCCAGAATTCGAGCATGCTCAATTTAAACCAGAAGTTAGATGCAGTTATCAACCTAAAGAACACAGAAAACTATATATAAGGTGATTAGCCAAATTACTCAATTTCATTATCTTTTTGGTTTATTTCCTGAATTAAGTAATATCAAAGCAATGTCAATGCTAATATAATGCATATAACATTATTCCATTATGACAGCACATTTCACATCCAAGTATGATTAAATCCTGCCTGCCCCATTTTATTAAATTCTCAGATGAGGTGCTGTTACCCAGGACCAGGGGAAAGGTAGAGCAGGTGAAGAATTTCCTCAGCCTCAATGACAACACTCAGGAAGCTGAACTATCATTAATTCCCCCTACCTTTTCTTTTTCTTTCTTTCTTTCTTTCTTTCTTTCTTTCTTTCTTTCTTTCTTTCTTTCTTTCTTCTTTCTTTCTGTCTTTCTTTCTTTCTTTCTTTCTTTCTTTCTTTCTTTCTTTCTTCTTTCTTTCTTTCTCTTTCTTTTGGAAAAAATGAAATAGCTATAATTTAAGCCCTGGTCTCTCTAAACTGTGCTTATCAGTTAATAAAAGGTGGTGCAAAGACTTATAAAAGTAGACAGTATCCAGTGGACAGTTTGTTTTTCAAAAAACACACTAAAATAAGCCTTTGACATCAAATGAATCAAGACCATGTGCAGAAATTGTTGAGTTTCAAAAACCACCTATCACATAAGGTGTCATAGAGATGAAAAGCCAAAAGAATAATAAAGTTAAATATGATTAGTCTCAGCACATAATTTACTCAGATGAGTGAGTAATGTGATTAATATATTTATTTTTCTATTGAAGGCAATATACATAAAGAAAAAAACATACAAATTGCATAGACATAACTCTTGCCAAGTGTGGCTTGGGAATTAGAACAAGCCTGCATGGGAAAGTCAGCAGAAAATCTCTGGCTCACCCTAATGTGCATGTGCTTTTTTTCTCTCTGTGATCTTGAAACCTCATGGCTTTTGTGCCATGAGGTTGCTCCCAAATACCTCAAACAGCTGTTATTCAGCTTCATGGTTGTGCTTGTGGAAGTGTTGTTCTGCAACAATAGAAATCTCGATGTTTTAAGAATTGAAAGCCAACATGATCCAAATTTAAAGACATGAGATCAAATGAATTCCTAACATGGTAGAATTATGACAATCAATTATAGAAAAGCAAACCAAAAAAAGGAGGGGGGGAATAACCAGTAGCTTGGTTTGCCATGGGGGATAATGTGAAATCCTCATTATCCAGTTCTAAATAGTTTAAACACATATTCAAATTTAAGGAATTTAGTACAGTAAACTAGAGGGATTCTATGATGCCTAAAAAGTGCTTCTATACATGGAAAGCAGTACAGAGATTTTAATGGTTTCAGAAGAACTTAAAAAAGATAAAGAACACGTTATTATACAATACATAATAGGACAACCAAACAAGTAAATAGTTGAATTGGGTATTTTTTAAAGTCATCTAAGTGCATAAAATGCAAAATGTTTTAACTTACAGAACTTTTAGAAAATAATGTGCTGATACCATATAATAGAAATTATGATGGTCCATTTTCCACATTACATAAATGCATTCACGTGAGAAAAGCAAGCAGATACAATCTCAGCTCTTCATGGAAAACTAGAAAATAGGAATCAATATGGATTAGAATGATCATCTGAAAGATCTCTAGATGATGGCTATAATAATAATCTACAAGAGATTAAATTTGTATAATTTGTAGTAGTTGTTGAATATCAGGGTGGTCGTAACTTTTTCTGAGAGAGAGAGGGAGAGAATTCCACATTTTCCAACACTTCTAACTTTAAAATATCTCAGAAGATGAGAAAAGAAGTGAAGAAAGCTATGTTAATATCCATAGGATGCTCAAAATTTCTGAGCAGGGGAAGAAAGGAAATATTGAACAATTTTAATGAAATACATACATTTCTTGTCAACAATAAACACATAATAAAGTTTGTAAAAAGAGAAATAATCCAGTGTTATCATTCTACCACTAAATGATAAGCAAAGCAGACTGTTAATCAACAAGAAATGCTAGTTGCTTTTCAATGAATAAGGGATGCAATATGGACAGAACTTCATTGAAGGAGCATATTGCAAACCACAAAAATCTGGAAGCATGTAGTAATTAAATAAGTGAGATAAACTATATACAACAAAAAAATGATCCAAGCAGATTACATAGCTTGTACTCAATTCAACAGATGGCCCATGCGCCTGACCAAATTACCTAACAGCAAAAATTGTGATTTAATGAACACTGGGAGTACTGTTGGAATTTGGTTGTTCTAAAATTTATGTAACTCTAAAGTACCAACTCTATTCTACAATTCAGTAATAATTACAAACCTCAAAGCTCTTATTTGTAAATAGCATAAAAATTTATCACCTCCCATCAAAGATGTAAAGAAATGTATTAAATATTGAAATAAACTGGGTAATTTTAAGAAAGAGGAAGGTTTTTATTATTTATTTTATTTGAAAATAATTTTATAACCCCAAATGAGGTGTTACTAAATATTCAACTAAATAAAATTTAAAGTATATATTCAATAAAATTTTCAAAATTATTGTAATAGAAAAATCTCACAGTTCAAACAATTATATAAATTTTTCAATTTTTCCCTTAATTTTAGAATTTTTATATTTTATACTCACATAAATACTTGTACAAATATAAAAAGGGAATACAACTCTTTAGTATAAAACAATTTTCCTTTTTTTTTAAGTTTTTTTTTACTAAGTTCTTTTGGGTTTTTATGTTCCAAGTCTTTATTTAAATTCTAGTTAGTTAACAATATTGTAATATTGGTTTCAGGAGTAGAATTTAGTGATTCATCACATACATATAACACCCCATGCTCTTCACAAATGCCCTCAACACCCATCACCCACTTAGCCCATCCACTCACCCACCTTTCCTCCAATAACTCTATTTGTTCTCTAAAGTTAAGAGTCTTTTATGGTTTGCCTCCCTCTCTCTCACTTTTTTTTTCTTCCTTCCCCTATGTTCATCTGTTTACGTTCTTAAATTCCACATATAAGAGAAATCATATAGTATTTGTTTTTCCCTGACTGACTTATTTCCCTTAGCATTATACTTTCTCGCTCCCTCCACATCATTGCAAATGGCAAGATTTAATTATTTTTTATGGCTGAGTAATATTCCTTTGTATATCTATACACCATATCTTCTTTATCCATTCGTCAGTTGATGGACATTTGGACTCTTTCTATTATTTGACTATTGCTGCTATAAACATTAGAGTGCATGTTCCCTTTCAAATCATTATTTATTTTTATCCTTTGAGTAAATACCTAGTAGTGCACATGCTGGCTTATAGGGTAATCCTATTTTTAGTTTTTTGAGGAAGCTCCATAATCAAAAAACTAAACAGATACTTCTAGATCTTACTATCTTTATACAACAAGTAAATACAGTCATAATTTGAAAGTGATTTTTTTTGGGAATTGTATTTGTAGGAAAATTTGATTGTATATGGCCAAGATGCCAACAAATACCTTTTTAAAATTGATATTATACATTATTATAAATATTACCAAACACCCCCAGCGAGTTCTAATCAATGAAGTAATGTCATGTTGATTCTCCCATGTTCTTATTCTCACTTTCATCTTTGGCCATATGATCTTTCATTTACTGAAACATAATCCAGTCTTCTCATAAGTCTTTCAGAGGACCTGCATGTATTCATAAACCTAATTGTCAATGTAATCACCAAGCAGCTTCTTCTATATTCTGCTTTTCCCTGAGCCAAGTGAAGTTTCCTCAGGTTTCCCTGATGATGATGTTCATTGTCTGGTCCACAAGTGATGTGTTCTGGATTATTGCTCTAAAATCCACCAGACATTGAGATTCTTCACCAGTTCTGAGTTACATGCAAAATTGAGGAAGTTCCTCTTACCCACTGGGGTACACTTTGTCATAAAGACTCCAAGGCGTCACCATTTGCCATAAAACTTCCATAGTCTTTCATTAAAAATCTCCTTTATCTTGTATAAAAAGCATCTAGCAAAGACTACACACGGTCATATGCATTAGTAAGCATAAACTTTGGTAGGAAAATGATAAACCAATTTCTTTCTTGAGATATAAATAAAACAAAACATTCTAAAAGTAGCCTTGTAGAGAATCCTTTAATATGGAAAACTAGGTATATTATCAACCTGAGCATTACTTTCCTCAGAGCCTATCAAGGTCCTCGAATTTTTTTCCTTCCTAATCATAATCCCACTAAATGATCCCTTAGGTCTCAAACTGTAGAACATGTTGGTAGATATTAATCTGCTTGCTATTTCTAAATAATAGTTTTACAGATTCTACCATTTTCAACACACAAGTTTGTTTGAAATTTCAGTCAAACCTCATGCTCAAGATATTCTTCTTCTGGCTGCTGACGTGCAGGGCCGAAAGGGACGGGCGGGCTCCGCCGAGCCGTGTGCTTCCGCGGGCTCCGGGGTCGCTGGGGCCTCGTGGCGGGGCGGCTCCGCGGGGCTTCGCCCACTCCCTCACCTCCCTCGTGCCCTCTCGCGGCGCCCGGCGGGCCCTGCGCTTCGGCTGGAGATCGAGGAAAGGTGAAAAACAAATGTCATCATGTCTGGAATCAAGCGAACAATCAAAGAAACCGACCCTGATTATGAGGATATATCTGTGGCCCTTCCAAATAAGCGTCATAAAGCAATTGAGAATTCAGCTCGAGATGCTGCTGTGCAGAAGATTGAGACTATTATCAAGGAACAATTTGCACTTGAAATGAAGAATAAGGAACATGAAATTGAAGTCATTGACCAGCGACTGATTGAGGCAAGAAGGATGATGGATAAACTTCGTGCCTGCATTGTTGCAAACTACTATGCTTCTGCAGGACTTCTGAAAGTTTCTGAGGGATCAAAGACATGTGATACAATGGTTTTTAATCATCCTGCTATCAAGAAATTTTTGGAGTCACCATCTAGGTCATCCTCTCCTGCCAATCAG